GTCGATCAAATTTTCGGGTCGTCGCATGACCGAACCCGAAAGCTTTTGTCGAGGAAATCCTACGCCGTTTGCTCATTTTCGGGTCCGTACACCGTTTGGGATTTAAAATTTTAAAATCCGAAAGGGAACCCGATCCCGTGACCCCAGGCAGGGGTTGCGCTCTGCCCTTGCATTGTACTGGGCCCTTCCAGCCAAACGGGGTGCCGGCCTGCCCATCCGCGCGCCGACTCTGCCCTCGCGACATCGCCCCCGTCCGCCCTCGGACCCCGCGAGTCTCATCCTGCGCGCGCAATCCCAGATGGCCCCGGCGAGCACGGTGGCGAAATTGGAAACTTTCGGAGCGGCGCAGTAGCCCCACCAAACAATGTTCTAAGAACCTTTTGTGGTTCCCACGAAATGTTCTTAGAATGTGTCTGGCTGGGGCTGTTTCGTTTTAACACATCGGGTTTATGTTCTAAGAACACTGTTCCCTACCTAGGCTCTGCCTAGAAGCGTTCTCACTCTCTAGCTTAAAGGGGCCGGGCAGTGGAAAGCGCCCCGGGCGGTTCCCCCAGTCCCCGCCCCGCGGTTCCCCCAGTCGCGCCCCCTTAGCTTGGCTTAGCTTATCTCGTCTTAGCTTAGCTTGGCTTAGCTTAGCTTGGCTTAGCTTAGCTTAGCTTAGCCTAGCTTAGCTTAGCCGAATGTAGCTTAGCGTAGCATAGCATAGCATGGCATAGCATAGCACAGCATAGCAGAACATATCACACTATTGCATAGCATAGCTTAGCATAGCTTAGCATAGCGCCCCCTTAGCTTGGCTTAGCTTATCTCGTCTTAGCTTAGCTTGGCTTAGCGTAGCTCGGCTTAGCTTAGCTTAGCTTGGCTTACCTTAGTTTAGCTTAGTTTTAGCTTAGTCCTAGCTTAGTTGTAGCTTAGATGTAGCTTAGCTTTAGCTTAGCTTTAGCTTAGCTTTAGCTTAGCTTTACCTTAGCTTTACCTTAGCTTTACCTTCGCATTAGCTTAGCTTTAGCTTAGCTTTAGCTGTTTAGCTTGAGCTTAGCTTTAGCTTAGCTTTAGCTTAGCTTTAGCTTAGCTTTAGCTTTTAGCTTTAGCTTAGCTTTAGCTTAGCTTCAGCTTAGCTTCAGCTTAGCTTCAGCTTAGCTTTTAGCTTAAGCTTAGCTTTAGCTTAGCTTTACTGTTGCTACTAATGCTGCTTTCCTAGGGGCTCCTTTAATTCGGATGCCGATCCTGGGAGGTCAAATTCTGAGTTAGCCCTGGTCCGAACTCCCGCTGAATCCGGCTGAATCCCGCTTAATATCGCTTAATCTGGCTCAATCCCGCGCGATCCCGCTTAATTCGGCTTAATCCCGCTTGATCCGAGGCCCACTCTGGCGTAACGGCCCCCAAGTGGGGCTTAATCCTCCTGAGTCCTTCCGGCGAAAACCTCCCAGTAGTTGCCTCCTACCCTTTATACATACCCCTTTCCTATTTCCAGATTGCCATCCGCGCCCGGGCCACCCCAATGCGGCAGCGTCCCGAGCCCTGCCCCCGCCCCCTCGGCGCGCAGCGACACGCTGCCCCCGCTCGCTGGGCAGAGCGGGTCGCCAGGGCCGCCGCCGCGATATGCTGAGATTAAGTCGGGCAGGTCCCTCTACAGGAGGAATATTCGAAAAGAGTTGCTTGCTTTTTAAAGTCTGGGGACGATTGCTCGGCTATTTGTTACCATTTGGGGGCACTGCTTGACTAGTCTTTATTTTTCGTCCAAAATCAGCCTGTAGGGGGGCATGCCCGACCTAGTGCTAAGGAAACGCTCCCGAACTTTATTTTTCGAAGCTCCGCTGAGGTTCCGGCGTCGCTTGTTTGTTTCACCTGGGGCGTCTTCGCCCAGCTTCGGGCCCCAGTACCATCACAGATCGATCTGGCGCGGAGAGCGTCACAGAAAGATGCGGTCTGGGGCCCTGGCCCTGACTTCTCGCGCTGCTGCCATCCTGTGGCAACGGCGGATCCCTGGGGAACCCTCAACTTTTTGAGCTCCGCGCGGCTCTCTTGCATCGGTGCTGGGCCCTCCCCTCGAGGCGCCCCCGGCGCCGCTCCCTGGCGCGCGGAGCGCGCCAGGGAGCGGGGCCCCCAGCGCTGGCCCGAGAAATCCTCGCGGAGCGGGCTGAGATTTCGGAAGGCTTCAGCTCCAGGCGGGGTCGGAGCAGATGGGGTCGGAGGGGATCGCGCCGCATCGGCGATGCATCGGCGATGCGTCGGCGCTGCGGCTCGATGTGGAGCTCGATTTTCTCCACGCCGACGTCGCCGATGCATCGCCGACGTCGCCAGTGCATGCCCGATGCATCGCCGGTGCATCGCCGATGCGTCGACGATGCGTCGAGATCCTCCAACCCCATCTACTCGGACTCCATCCAGGAGGCCTCTATAAGCCATATCTCAGAGCGTGAATTACCTACCCCGCTTTCGCTTCCAGGCAAAACCAAGTCATACCACGCGCCTCCTCGTCAAGCGGCCTGACCAGCGCAGGCCGTAGTTTGGCGTCGCTTGGTATCTCTTGGGAGCGAGGGTGGTTTAAAGCGAGGTAGACTCGTTTGCGCCCTACAGTCGGGGCGCTGAAGAAGGAACCCTTTGCGTTGGGGAGGGGCTCGGTGTTCCTGAATTGTTCCACACTTTGCCCAAGGTTGTCCTTAAGTTTTCGATGGGAAGTCGGAGTTTACCTTATGGAAAGGAGGGGCCTCGTTCCTGATATTCAGAGCTCTTTGGGTCAACGCCTCGACTGCAATATTGTGGATGCCGTGGTCGGCGCTGCGGGGGAGACAGGGCCAGAGCTGGGGCGCCAGAGCCGGGGCCCCGGAGGGGGGGCCACCCCAGGCTCCGGATCCGCCCTACTTTGGGGAAATTCGTAAGTGGGGCTTGGAATTTCCGCCTTACTTTTCAAGCCCCGCTGATGCCAGTTTCCGCCCTACTCTTCTGTTGCTGTTTCCGCCCTATTTCCGTGGATGTCCGCCCTATTTTAGGTTGGGTGCAGAAATTTCCGCCCTACTTATTCGGCTTCTTATAGGTGGATTTCCGATGCAATTTTAAGTTGGAAAATGCCAAAGTAGGGCGGATCTGGAGTCAGGGTCCCCAGAGAGACCCTCGCGTGCTCCCCGCCCTCTCGCGCCCCTGCGAGCGGCGCCGGCGGCGAGAATTTGTGCCCGCGCGTTCTGGGATCACTTCCCAGCTCAGTTGCCTCGATGCGCCCGTTTTGAAACGCAGCACGTCCCGTGTTCCAGGCGCCCGTGTCAATACGTTGCGTGTTGGCTCCTCGTATTGGCCCACGTTTTGGCGAACGTATCGCGTCGGACCTACGTTTTCAGTCCACGTGTTGAGCTCCGTATCAATACGCTACGTGTCGCGTGTTGCGTATCGGGGCAGCTAAGCTTCCCAGGGACCGGTCGTTCGTCCCGACGATTTCTCTTTCGGTCCCAGTGCCCGGCGAGCCCCCCGGAGGCCGAAGACAGACGAAAACTTCCCGCCGTGATTTTTGTGCACGGCGAGGGCCCCCCCAGATGCCGGAAGCTTAGAACAACCCCGGCTCGATGTTTCAAAGCATGTGAGGTCTGGTCTTTTAGCGCCGTTTTTCCTTCTTCCAGGCTGGGCTCCATGCTCAAGGAGATCAACCGCGGCCCCTCATAGCAAAACCTCGGCACCCCACGACTGGGGGGCACCAGCGACGGGGCCTTTCGTCGGCCGTCGAGGAAGAGGACGAGGAGAAGGGCGAGGTTTTGGAAGAGGTTGCGGAGGAGGGGGACGACGTGGAGGAGGAGGAGGAGGAGGAGGAGGAGGAGGAGGAGGAGGAGGAGGAGGAGGAGGAGAGGGACAAGAAGATGTGGAGGAGGAGGAGGAGGAGGAGGGGGAGGATGAGGAGGTGGCGGAGGAGAGGGACGATGTGGAGAAGGGGGGGAAGAGGAGATGATGAATGATGATGATGATGATGATGATGATGATGATGATGATGATGATGATGATGATGATGATGATGATGATGATGATGATGATGATGATGATGATGATGATTTGTGATGGTTGGTGATGGTGATGGTGATGGTGATGGTGATGGTGGTGATGGTGATGGTGATGGTGATGGTGATGATGGTGATGATGATGATGATGATGTTGCAGATGATGATGATGATGATGATGATGATGATGATGATGATGATGATGATGATGATGATGATGATGATGATGATGATGCTGCTGATGATGATGATGATGCTGATGCTGATGCTGGTGAGGATGATGATGGTAATATTGGTACTGATACTGATACTGATACTGATGATGATGCTGCTGATGGTTATGCTCATGCTGCTGCTCCTGATGATGATGGTGATGATGATGCTGATGCTGATGCTGATGCTGATGCTGATGACGATGATGGTGGTGATGATGACGATGATGCTGGTGAGGATTGTGATGATGATGGTGAGGATGGTGATGATGATGGTGAGGATTAAGATGGTGGTGAGATGCTATGATGATCATGATGATGCCGCTGCTGGTGATGGTAGTGAAGGTGATGTTGATGGTGAAGATGACGACGACGATTAGGATGATGAGGATGCTGATGGTGATGCTGCTGACGATGATGATTATGATGATGATGATGCTGATGATGATGATGATGATGATGATGATGATGATGATGATGATGATGATGATGCTGCTGCTGCTGCTGATGATGAAAAAGGTGCTGTTGATGGTGATGGTGATGGTGATGGTGATGGTGATGGTGATTTAGAGGACGAGGAGGAGGATGAGGAGGAGGAGAAGGATGAGGAGGAGGAGAAGGATGAGAAGGAGGAGGAGGACGAGGACGAGGAGGAGGAGGAGTAGGAGGAGGAGGAGGAGGAGGAGGAGGAGGAGCAGGAGGAGGAGGAGGAGGAGGGGGACGACGTGAAGGAGGAGACGGAGGAGGAGAACGAGGAGGACGAGGAGATGTGGAGGAGGAGGAGGAGGACGAGGACGAGGACGAGGAGGAGCTCAAGGAGATCAACGCCGCCTACAGCTTCACGCGTTCGGTCCTGCAGGTCCCGCGCGGCGGCCGCACCGAGGTGATCACGGCCGACAGCACGAGCGACGGCCTGCACGAGGCCTCGGCGTTCGATTGTGGGCCCCCCTTCCGCCCCTTCCTCCATCTTCCACGCTGTGTTCGTCACTCCTCCGCCTCCTCCTCCTCCTCCTCCTCCTCCTCCTCCTTGTCCTCCGCCTCCTCCTCCTCCTCCTCCCTGCTCCTTTCCGCCCACCCCTCCTCCCCTCTCCTGTTCCCCTCTAGGCCTCCTAGATGGGGTCCGAGCACATGAGGTCGGAGGATCGCGCCGCATCGCCGATGCATCGCCAATGCGGCTCGATGCGGAGGCCGATTGTCTCCGCGCCGACGTCGCCGATGCATCGCCGACGTCGCCGCTGCAACGCCGATGCATCGTCGATGCATCGACAGTGCGGCGCCGTCCTCGTCGTGGGTCAAAGCACGGCGGGAGATTGCTGTCTGCTGTTGTTGCTGTTATGTTCGGCCTCTGGAAGCATTGGCTGGGCCCGGGGACCGTCAAATACCCAGGCCTGGGGAAAGGGTATAGGGACTTTCGGCGACCCCGCATCGCAAAAGTCAGAGGAGGAAAAGGCGCCGATGCCGCTGCCCTGCCCTCGCTTTCCCCGCCGTGGCCTTCCTGGGAGGCCCTCGTCGCCGCGGCTGGCTGGTCAGAACCCACCCCGGGAGAGGTCTAGGGAGTACAGTCGGGGCGCTGAAGAAGGAAGCCTTTTCGTTGGGGAGGGGCTCGGTGTTCCTCGATTGCTTCATAGTTTGCCTTGGGTTCTCCTGAGGTTTCCAATGGGGAATCGAAGTTCCCCAGTCAGAGCTTGCCTCTGTGGGGGACCTAGCGGATTCAGATGGTTAGGTCAGGTTTGCCGCCGATTTTCGCCGCACGCCCGGGTGCCCGAGGGTGCCCGAGGGTGCCCGGGTGCCCGGGCGTGCCCGGGCGTGCCCGGGGGTGCCAGGGTGCCTGGGGGTGCCCTATAGCCCTATAGCCCAATTACCCAACAGCCCTATAGCCCTATAGCTCATATAGCCATATAGCCCAAGAGCCCATATAGCGCCCAAGAGCCCATATAGCCCTGTAGCCCTATGGCCCTACAGCCCTAAAAAGATTATGATTGGGGCTTCTCTCCGGTAGCATTGGACTTGTGAGAAAAAGGGGCCTCGTTCCTTATTGAGGGTTCCTTCTCAGAGATCCGATGTCGTGTTTTTTTCAATACGGGGTCCCCGGAAGTCTCGACCCATTCCCCCGGACCGGTTTTTCATCCTGAGTCGTTTTTGACAGTCCTGGGGCCCGGCGAGGGCCGCTAGAGGCCGAAAATCGAGAAAAACCTCCGCCGTGTTTTTTTCAATACGTTGGATCTCTGGGTTACTGTACGCAGCGGCATCGGTACTCACCAGACCCTTCCTCGGCCTCTCCAGACGCCGAGAGGCGTCTGGCGCGTCGAAAGCGGGAAGGCCGCCACAGCCTCCTGGCGAGCGCCGCGGCAGACCGCCGCGAATCCCGGCCGAAGGGCCGCCCGTCTCCTCCTCCTCCTCCTCCTCCTCCTCCTCCTCCTCCCTCCTCCTCCCTCCTCCTCCCTCCTCATTATTCTCCTCCTCCTCCTCCTCCTCCTCCTCCTCCTCCTCCCCCTCCTCCCTCCTCATTATTCTCCTCATCCTTCTCCTTCTCTCTCCTCCTCCTCCTCCTCCTCCTCCTCCTCCTCCTCCTCCTTCTCCTCCTCCTCCTCCTCCTCCTCCTCCTCCTCCTCCTCCTCCTCCCTCCTCCTACCCCTCCTCCTCCACCGCCCATGGCGGAGGGCCGAGAAAGGCTGCGAAGACCGCGGTTTGCCCTGTCGCCAGCGGCGCCCCTGAGCCCAGACATCGGGCGTCTCGAGAGAATCGAGAAGGAGGTTTTTCGTAGTCGTCGGCCTCTCGGGGCCCTCGCCAGGCCTCGGGAGCGTCCAAAAACGACTCGGGACGAAAAACTGGTCCTAGGGAAGTAAGTGGTCGGGAGGTCGGGGGCCTGCGTCTCGAAAAGATCGAGACGTCGGATGTCTGGGAATGCACGTGCGGCTTCCCCCCTGGGCTACTCGCCCCCATCGTCGCCCCCGAGCCTCCCGTCGCAGCGCGTGCCTTGCGCCAGCTCTCCCGGGGGCCCCTTCCTGGGAGGGCTGCTCCACGGCCCCAGACCTCCTCGAGTCATGAAAAAGTCACGACGGGAGGTTTTTCGCTATTCTCGGCCTCGGAGGACCCTTACTGGGCCTCGGGGCCGTCAAAAAACGACTCGGGATGAAAAACTGGCCCCAGGGAGTGGGCCTGGACCTCTGGGGGTCGCGTCATAAAAAGATCGTGGCGTCGGGGGCCTGGGGCAGGGGGGAGCGGCACGGGGCAGGGCAGCGGAGCGAGGCGGGGAGACTGCCGGGGGCGAGGAGGGAGCAGGAGAGCGCCAGAGCTCCCGAGCTCCGCGCGGTTTCCTCGGATCGGCGCTGGGCCCCTCTCCCGCTGCGCCGCCCCGGGCGCCGCCCCGGGCGCGCCCCTGGCGTTCAGTCGGGCCTGTCCCCCTACAGGGGGATTTTCGGCGAAAGATAAGAACCCCCCCCCAAAGCAGTCAAAACATATTCCAAAAGTCGTCAGGGGATTCTTTTTGAGTATCGTTTGACCTGTTCCGTGCATCTTGTTTTTTTTTATGTATTTTTTGTTTTTCGTCGAAAATCCCCAGGGACACGCCATAACCCTGGCGCGACAGGGAGGGGGATCCGGCGCCGATCTGAGGCATCCTCGCTGAGATCCCGAAGCTGGTGCTTGTGGCGTTCGTGCTCCTCTAGATAGGCAGCAGTCGACTGCTCGTAGGAGGGACCCTTCGCTGGAGTGACCTTCGGTGCGGGCCCACTGGGGTCTTCCGATCGCCGAGCGCGGATGCGACAGTAGTGTCCTGCGCGCTCGGCTTTTTCACTCTTACCCAGGGTCGCTCTTGCGTCTACAGTCGGCCCGGATTCGTAGGTCGACCCTGCCAGCTCAAGGGCACCCTTGTGTCCTGTGCCCCGCGGCACGTGCCTTCTTACGCTCCTGTGGCGATGTGGCCCTCGGAAGGGTCTCGTGTCCTCTCGCGTGCCCCGTCCAATCTCAGGAAGGGAAGGGGGGAGGCGGGGGAAGGAGGGAGGCGGGGGGACGGAAGGAGGAAGGATGGAGGAGGGGAGGATGGAGGGAGGAAGAGAGGAAAAAGAGGGAGGGAGAGGCCGACGGTAGCCGAAACAGGGGGCCCGCACGTCCGGGCAAGCGGCACGGGGGGCCCGCCGCCGAGCGCGCGCCGCGAGGTCGAGTCCCTGCACAAGGCGACGCAGTCCCGGGTCGGCCTCCCCACGGGCTCCCTCGTGGCCCTCACGGTCGTGACCCGCCTCACCCGGCTGAGCAGGCCGCGGCTCGCGTGGGCGCTCTTCGGGATCGCGCTGCCCAGGATGCGGGAAAAGAGAGAGAGAAAACAGCTCACCACCCACCAGACCACCCCAAACCCAACCCGAAGGCTCAGAGATTCACCCTCGATTTCCAGTGGGGGGATGGTCGGGAAGCATCGAGAAAAACACATGTGGAACCCCCCCCAACCCGAAATTCGGGTCTTCGGGTCGGGTTGGGGTGGTCTGGTAGGTACAGTGCCGTTTTTAATACATGCTCCGCGTGCGGATCATGTATTAGAAATGCAGGGATTTAGTATTTAAAAAACGATGAGTTCATGCATACATTCATAATTTCGTCATGTATTAAAATTCGTTTTTAACATCCTATGTATTAACAACTGCCCTGTAGTCAAAAACGGCGGCGCTCCCTGCTGGTCGTCGTCCTTCCTGGACCCCCCATCGAGGCTTCTCGCCGCCACGACCGGAGCCGCATCGTCGAATGGGTCGAAATGGACTCCAGGAGGGGGCCCCGGGACCGATTTTTGTGCGTATTCGCGCGGGGGCGTGGGGGGACAACAGTCGGGGGGGGACATACCTCCTACCCTGACACGTCGATTCAGGAATTGGCCGTTCTCGGTGCGCGAGATGGCGTCGCGGCCGTCGCTTTTGCGCGTCCAGGTCCGTCGAATTCGGTCCCAGGCCGTTTTCGCTAAGGGGAGGTTTACTGAAGGGAGTTCTGCCCACCGCCGAAACAGAAGGAAGCACGGCACAAACGTAATCTGTCCGAGCTCGGCGCGGACTTCGGACAGCTTTTTTTTTTTTTTTTTTTTTTTTTTTTTTTTTTTTTCCAAAAAAAAAATTTAAAAAAATTTTATAAAAAAAAAAAAAAAAAAAAAAAAAAAAAAAAAAAAAAAAAAAAAAAGTGCAGCCCTCTGTGCCTCCGAGGATCGCGCTCGCGCTGATCGTGGGCGCTGTTGGCACGCTCTTCCTCGCCACCTCTTCGGCGATGTCGGACCTGGTCCTCAACGCCATCGCGCTGGCCTTCATCATCTCGGAGGGGGGGCGGTCGAGACCGTCGCCGGCGCTCCCGCCCGGCCCGGGTCCTTTCAGAACCGGTCCCCAGGCCTCGCCTCGCTCCAGACTCGCTCCAGACCGCAGTCTCGACTCGCCTCGCTCCAGACTTTGGAGGGCACCAGCTATACACCAACACCGATCCTGGCCCAGGATCACCCTGGGCCCGTGATCGGCGTATATGCCTTCTTGCCCAAGGCAGGGGAAGGCGTATACACCGATCCTGGGCCCAGGGTGATCCTGGCCAGGATCGGTGTTGGTGTATAGTTGGTGCCTTCCTAATTGGGGGGCCAGTCTTTCGCCGCGGCTCCCTTCGGGTGCGGCCGCGGGGGTCCCCGGCGACGGACCTCGGAGGCCGAAGTCCGGTCAAACCGCCCAGGTTGAACATCAAAACGTAGCCTCCTCCTCCTCCTCCTCCTCCTCCTCCTCCTCCTCCTCCTCCCTCTCCTCCTCCCCCTCCCCCTCCTCCTCCTCCTCCCCCTCCTCCTCCTCCTCCTCCTCCTCCTCCTCCTCCTCCTCCTCCTCAGACTCCCCAGGCCTTTCAAAACCTTTTCCGCCCTCGCTCCGGACCGCAGTGCGCCGCTGCCGCAGCCATCCCGGGAGCTCGGCGCGGTGGCGGCGGCGGCTGCTCGGCTGCACGATGCCAGGCCTCCCCCTCCTCCTGCTCCTCCTCCTCCTCCTGCTCCTCCTCCTCCTGCTCCTGCTCCTGTTCCTCCTCCTCCTCCTGCTCCTCCTCCTTCTCCTGCTGCTCTTCCTCCTCCTCCTTTTTCTTCTTCCTCCTCCTCCTCCTCCTCCTCCTCCTCCTCCTCCTCCTCCTCCTGGCCTGCAGGTGCAGGTGCGAGGAAGGGAGAAAAAAAGGTCCCAGGGCCTATGCTGAAATCCATCCTGCCCCGTTGTCCCGACGCGGATCCAGTCGTGGCGACGGGAACCCTCCAGGAGGCCACCAAAAGGGCAGCAACAGGTCGTCAGTGAGGACCTGCTCCTGGATCCCGGACGTTGCACAACAGCAGCTCTCCGCATCTGGACAACACGCTGCGTGCAATCCCCAGCAAGAGCTGCCTCGACCGACCTTCCTCCGATCGTCGAGCTGGACGAGATGCTCTACTCCCTCTTCGCGCCGCGGCGGCTGCACACTCTGATGAACAACATCGAGCCCTTTCCGATGCCGCCTCTCCGCAGGCGCGCCCTCCTCCCCTGTAGGGTCGAGGCGCCGAAAGAAGGGCCAGTTTTTTGGGGGGTTCGGAAGGGGCTCGATGTTCCTCGGGGTCCTTCCGTGAATGTTCCTCTAGCCCTCCTCGTGCGCGCGGGCGCGCCTGGCGCCAAAAAAGCGTCGTCGTGTCCCAGCGCTCCGTGTCTCAGCAGCCCCTGCTGCCTGCTGGGGCACCCCCCCAAGGGCGCGAAGACCATCGCGCTTCTCAGTGGAGGGCGAGTTGGGAAAACAGCAGTTGGCCTTCAGGGGGGGGGGGGGAGGGCCTCGTCTCGTCGCCACGGCTGGCCGCTGCTCGGAAAGCTGGTGCGTCTGGACCCCAAGAGGTGTCCCGAGACCCGTTGTGAGATCCTCGTTTCTCCCCCTCCTCCTCCTCCTCCTCCTCCTCCTCCTCCTCCTCCTCCTCCTCCTCCTCCTCCTCCTCCTCCTCCCCCTCCTCCTCCCATTCCAGGTCACCCCTAGGGACGCGAAGACAATCGCGCCTCGCTCGAGGGAGGACTAGAATGGCACAGGCATGCGCAAGCTTGCGGAGGACGGCGCAGCTCTCCCCGATCTCTGCGCTGGGCCGCCCCTGGCGTCGCCTCTGGCAGCGTGCCCCCGGCGCGCTCCCGCTCCGCCGGGGCGCGGGTTGCCCAGCGCCGATCCAGGCAATCCGCGCGGGCCACGGCAGGTGTACAGGTCGGACCGAGGTATGAGACCGAGGGGTCGGTTCGAGTCGGGGGCGGCAAAGAGGGGGGTTATGACCAGGGGTGGGGTGGATACCATGGCGGGGGCCATGATATTTCCCCAGATGTCGTGGCGCCTCTTCTTATAATGGAATAAGAATCTTATTCCATTACGTCCCTGGCCCCCCCCCTGGGCCGCGCACATGCCGCCGGTCATGATTTGCACCCCCCCCTCTTGGACACCCCCCTCTTGACCGCTCCCGATCGAGGAGGGTGCCCCAGGGCTGGACCCACACGGTGTTTCTGGTGATTTCGTAGGCCGTTTTCGTTTCGATTTTGTTTTGCGGTAGAGGTGGCTTCGAGACAAAAGCGAGGGAAAACGACAAAAAAAAAAACGAAAACGAAAAACACCGTTTAGGTTCAGCCCCGGGGTACCCTAGCTTTGTTGATGCTTGTTGGATGTTAATTGTGCATCCTGAGGAGGGTGGATGCTCTGTGCGTTTTGGCCGGCGGAGGGTCTCGTGTTCTTGAGGGATGTTTTTCTGGCCCAGGTCCGACTGTTTGTTCCTGCAGTTCTTCCTCCCTCTCTTGGCGCGAGGCGGCCCGGGGCCGCCGAGCCTTGCCTCCGCGAGGCCGCGGGGCGCGAAGTTGGGAAACGACGACGCAGAGATGCTCCCCGAGCGCGTTCTGCCACTTGGAGCGACTCGCAGGCTCGCAGACGTGCAGCGAAAGCAGCTGCGGCTCGATGCAGTGGAGCCTGTCTGCCTCGGCGCAATGGATCCAGGCCGCTTGCGAGCAGCCACTTTGCGAGTCGTGGAGCGCGCTTGCGGGGGGGCGGGGGGGAGGGGCGTCGTGCGGCCGCGCCCTTTGGCGGGGACGACTGCGTCGGGTTCGGGGTCTGCTCGTGGACGTCGCCGTCGTCGCTGCGATGACCTGGCCGTCCTCTCAAAAGGCCCTTCCCCAGCGGCAGAACACGAGGGGTTCAGGTGTTCCTTCCGTGTTTCCCGACACGTCATCATACAGTCAACCATGATGGTCAGGATGGGGCAACTTGGCCAGGGTACCCTTGCATCCTTGCCCCTTCGGCGCATCCTTGCCGACTTTCGCTGGCCAGCCCTTCAGGATACCCTTGCATCCTTAGGTTGCGCGGCGCGACGCCCCTGGGGGCCAATCCTGACGGATGCTGGATGGGCAGGGTACCCTTGGCCATCCTCGGGTCCAGTGTTGCCATCCTTACATTCCAGGGGCCGCGGCCCCAAGGATGCGCGACGCGCAGGGTACTTTTGCTCATCATTTGGCACGTCTTCCTTGCCCTCCCACTCATGACTGGGAACGGCCCTGAGGATGCTGGATGGGCAGGGTACCCTTGGTCATCCTCGGGTCCGGTGTTGCCTTCCTTACATTCAAGGGGCCGCGGCCCCAAGGATGCGTGACGCGCAGGGTACTTGTGCTCATCATTGGGCACGTCTTCCTTGCCCTCCCAGTCTTGGCTGGGAACGGCCCTGAGGATGCTGGATGGGCAGGGTACTCTTGGCCACCCTCGGGCCCAGCTTTGCCGTCTTCCCCTCCCCGCTCCGCAGGGGCATCCCGGGCCTGAATTGCCTGCTGAAGATGCTGTTCGTGGCAGCGGGCGTCTTCCTCGTCAAGCTCCTGCTGCTGGACCCGGTGTTCTGGCGGCTGGGGCAGGCGCAGGACATCCTCTGCTCAGGCAAGCCCCGCGTTGCTCGCCGCGCTCTCCTGCGCGCCTGTGTCCGTTCCTGCGAGTCGCAGCTGAGGCGACCGTAGCTCACCTCGGGCACACAAGTTGTCATCAAGCAGTGGCGAAGCGTCCTGACGTGCCTGTAGGCCTACCAAACAATGTTATGAGAGCTTTTCTTGTGGTTGCCACGAAATGTTCTTGGAACATTTCTGGCTGGGACTGTCTTGTTTTAAAACATCGGGATCAATGCTATAAGAGCATTGTTTTTGTTCGTAGAACATTTGGGTTCTAAGAACATGCCGTGGTAATTCTACAGGAATGCCGGGACGGTCGGTCCCTGCTCGATGTTATCGTCGCCCAGTCTCGTTTGGTGTCTCATTTGTTGGATGACCTATTGGGCATCGTCTCTTGCACCATACACCCTGCTGGGTGCCAATATCCCTGCTCTTCCCCCGCTGATGATGAAGAACTCCTTTGCTCAGGTCCGTTGCCGTTTGTCGTATGCCTCTTTCGTTCCCCCAGCAGCCCGCTCTGTCGCCTCCTCTCTCTTGATTCTGCCCCTCGCGTTGCCGCGTCTGCGCCTTAGGCCCGACGTTGCCTCCCCTCGGCATCGTCTTCCTCCTCCTCCTCCTCCTCCTCCTCCTCCTCCTCCTCCGCCGACTCCTCCTGCTCCTCCTCCTCCTCCTCCTCCTCCTCCTCCTCCTCCTCCCCCTCCTCTCCTCTCCTCCTTCTCCTCCTCCCTCTCTCCTCCGCCTCCTCCCTCCTCACTCCTCCTGCTCCTCCTCCTCCTCCTCCTCCTCCTCCTCCTCCTCCTCCTCCTCCTCCTCCTCTCTCCTGCTCCTCCTCCCCTCCTCCTCCTCCTCCTCCTCCTCCTCCTCCTCTCTCCTCCTCCTCCTCCTCCTCCTCCTCCTCCTCCTCCTCTTCCTCCTCCTCCTCCTCCTCCTCCTCGTTCCCTCGTCACCCTTCGAGCTCGGCCCTCAGAGTGCACAGTCGTGGCGCGCCTGCCGGACGAGCTGCCTGGAGCTCACGAGAAGTCCGCAGAGAAAGGTCCGTCGTCATACCATCTGCATCCTCGAGAGTCCGCAGAGAAAGGTCCATCGCTCCATCGCTCCGAGAGTCCGCAGAGAAAGCGTCATACCATCATGAGAAGTCCGCAGAGAAAGGTCAATGAGAAGTCCGCGAGAAAGGTCCATCGCTCATGAGAGGTCCGCAGAGAAAGGTCCGCAGAGAAAGGTCCATGAGAAGTCCGCAGAGAAAGGTCCCTATTCTCGGTCATTCTTGCTGTCTCGCGGGCGGCTGGCGGCCTAGGGGAGCGAATGGCCAGCATCTTGCAAGCATGGGTGCGGTCAATAGTCCACTTTCCTCAGACGGGGGGGGAAGGGACGTTCCCTGGCTCAGGTGAGAAAGACTTCGTGTACGCGACGAACCCAGCTACTGGCATGCTGCACGTGACCAAAACCTCAAAGCCGCAGGGGTGGTCCGAGATCGAAAAGACGTTGCTGCAGGTGGCCCGGCCAGAGCTGGAGTCGAAGCACGGATGGGAGGTTGACCAGGATCGGCTTCACAGAAGAGTCGCGCTTCGCCGGAGCGGCCTTCCCAGGCATAATTGCTCCGAGAAAAAAGCACGACGGGCGGTGTTTGGCAGTGTTCGGCCTCAGGGGGCTCTCGCTGGGCCCCAGGACTGTCAACAAACGAGTCGGGATGCAAAACTGGCCCAAGGGAAAGGGTCGGGGCATCTGGAGATCTCGACTGGAAAATCAGGCATCGCATATTTGAGCTTGCTGCGCGACTTTCGGGGCGCGCGGTGGGCGTCTGTGTGCGTGTGTGTCTGTGTGTACGTCTCTGTGTGTGTGTGTGTGTGTGTGTGTGTGGGTGTGGGTGTGGGTGTGGGTGTGGGTGTGGGTGTGGGTGTGGGTGTGGGTGTGGGTGTGGGTGTGGGTGTGGGTGTGTGGGTGTGGGTGTGGGTGTGGGTGTGGGTGTGGGTGTGGGTGTGGGTGTGGGTGTGGGTGTGGGTGTGGGTGTGGGTGTGGGTGTGGGTGTGGGTGCGGGTGTGGGTGTGGGTGTGGGTGTGGGTGTGGGTGTGGGTGTGGGTGTGGGTGTGGGTGTGGTGTGTGGGGGTGGGGGTGGGGGTGGGGGTGGGGGTGGGGGTGGGGGTGGGGGTGGGGTGTGGGTGGTGGGTTGTGGGTGATGGGTGTGGTGGGGTGTGGGTTGTGGGTGTGGGTGTCGGGTGTGGGTGTGGGTGTGGGTGTGGGTGTGGGTGTGGGTGTGGGTTGGTGTTGGGTGTGGGTGTGGGTGTGGGTGTGGGTGTGGGTGTGGTGGGTGTGGGTGGGGGTGGGTTGGTTGTGGGTGTGGGGTGTGGGTGTGGGTAGTGGGTGTGGGGAGGGGGTGGGGTGGGAGTGTGGTGGGTGGGTGTGTGGGCGTGTGGGTTGTGGGTGTGGGTGTTGGGTGTGGGTGTGGGTGTGGGTTGGGGGGGGGGTGGGGGTGGGGTGGGGGTGGGGGAGTGGGGGTGGGAGTGGGGGTGGGGGGGGGGGGGTGGGGGGGTGGGGGTGGGGGTGGGTGGGGGGTGGGGTGGGGGGGGGGGGGGGGTGGGGGTGGGGGTGGGTGGGGGGGGTGGAGGTGGGGGTGGGGGGGTGGGGTGGGGGTGGGGGGGGGTGGGGTTGTGTGGTGTGGGGGTGGGGTGGGGTGTGGGTGTGGGTGTGGGTGTGGGTGTGGGTGTGGGTGGGGGTGTGGGTGTGTGTGTGTGTGTGTGTGGCGTGTGTGTGGGTGGTTGGGTAGGTGTGTGGGGGGGGCGGGAGCGTACCACCCGACCACGCAGCTTGCGACAGTCGCATCACCATGCAGCGATCGGCAGGCCGTGCACCAGAGGCCACTCTCTCCCCCCTACGGAAGGCCTCGGGCTGCGCACAGACAGGTCCTCCCCGGCAGTCGTCCTCCTCCTCCTCCTCCTCCTCCTCCTCCTCCTCCTACTCCTCCTCCTCCTCCTCCTCCTCCTCCTCCTCCTCCTCCTCCTCCTCCTCCTCCTCCTCCTCCTCCTCCTCCTCCCCCTCTGGCCCGATCGGGCCCCCCGAGCGGTCAGGTGCGGGAGCGCCTCCACCTTGGGGGCGCGGAGCGCCCGAGGGGCGCCGCCGGAGGCGGCGCCAGGATGCGTCGGGACCGCCCCCGGCTGCTCGGGGGGGCGCATCGCACAGGCGCGGGCAGGCCACTGCCCCGATATTTATTGGGCTGGCCTCCGGCCAGTGCCGCCGATCCAGGGGGCGGTGAGAGCGAGGGGAAAAAGGGGCCTGGGGTACCGAAAAAACGTCAGAAATGACGTCGGAAATATCCCCGGGTACCGAAAAACGTCGGAAATGACGTTGGAAATAAAGTACGCCCCCCCCCCCCCTGCAGAGCGAAGCTTGAGCGAGCTCAAGTCCACGCTCTCAGAAACTCACACGCCGGATCGGCGGATTTGCAGTGGGCGAGCACACCAGGCAGGAGGTGGCCAGATCCATGGACGAGGCAGGCCTGGGTAGACTGAGGGATGCATCTGCCATCGTGGAGCAAGTGATGGGCCCCACTGTGGATGCGGGGCAGCGGTGACGGCTAAGTGCGCTGTGCATGGTGCTGCCTGCCCTCCGCCGCCGCTTCTTCCCAAAACCCGGGTGCACCAGTAAGCTCTTGTGTCACGGCCAGCCGCCGAGCAAACGCGCATCGATCGCCCGATCACTCACACCCATTTGGGGCGCGGTCGGGAGCACGTCAGGAGGGGAAATAACACAGAGACACAATTCATCGTCGATTCCCCAGAAAATATGGGAAAATGTGGGAAGTGGGGAGGAAGACAAAAACCACCAAAATATGGGAAATGATGGGGAATCGTTGTTATTTGTGTGTGTATCTATTTGTGTGTCCTGGGGCCCCTTCAGTACAGGCAGGACGCTGAGACAAGGACCGCCCCGGGCTCGGGAGGGGCTGCTCGCGTCGTCGTCGTCGCTCGTCGCTCGTCGCGTCGTGCGCGCGGGCGCGGCTGTGGTGCCGGAGCCACTCGGCGGGGGGGGGGGCGTCACGTCATACCCCCCCCCCCGCCCTCCCCCCCCCCATGACGCCCGTCCTCGCCGAGCATAAAGAGACGCGCCCTTATTATGTGTGTATCTGTTTGTGTGTCCTGGGGCCCCTTCAGTACAGGCAGGACGCTGAGACGAGGACCGCCCCGGGCTCGGGATGGGGCTCTCTGGTCTCCAGGGCCGCTCCTCGTGGGGCCTATAGGTCGGGGAGCCTGCTCGTGGAGAGGCTCGCCTTGGCCCGCAGTGCCCTGCTCCTGCTCCTCCTCCTCCGCCTCCTCCTTCCTCCTCCTCCCTCCCTCCTCCCCCCTCCTCCTCCTCCCCCCCAGGCGTCAGGCCCAGAGATCCAACATATTGAAAAAATCGCGACGGAGGTTTTTCTCAATGTTCGGCCTCTGGCGGCCCTCGCCGGGCCCCGGGACTGTCAAAAAACGATTCGGGATGAAAAACCGGTCCTGGGGAAGGGGTCGAGACTTCCGGGGGCCCCGTGTTAATTATCCCGGCAAAGCAACCAAACAGCGATGTGTAAAGCATTTTTGGAAGCATTCCCTTTAAGATTTAGGTGAGAATCCAGTTGTAGAATTCTGCTGTTCTCGCAGTCGCAGCCTCAGCCTGCCTCGGCTTGCCTCGGCCTCAGCCTCAGCCTGCCTCGGCCTCAGCCTCAGCCGGCCTCAGCCTCAGCCTCAGCCTCAGCCTGCCTCAGCCTCAGCCTGCATCAGCCTCAGCCTCAGCCTGCCTCAGCCGCAGCTTGCCTCAGCCTCAGCCACAGCCTCAGCCTCAGCCTAAGCCTGCCTCAGCTTCAGCCTCAGCCTCAGCCTGCCTCGGCTTGCCTCGGCCTCAGCCTCAGCCTGCCTCAGCTTCAGCCTCAGCCTGCCTCAGCCTCAGCCTCAGCCTGCCGCAGCCTCAGCCTGCATTAGCCTCAGCCTCAGCCTGCCTCAGCCGCAGCTTGCCTCAGCCACAGCCTCAGCCTCAGCCTCAGCCTGCCTCAGCTTCAGCCTCAGCCTCAGCCTCAGCCTGCCTCGGCTTGCCTCAGCCTCAGCCTCAGCCTGCCTCGGCTTCAGCCTCAGCCTCAGCCTGCATCAGCCTCAGCCTCTCAGCCTCAGCCTGCATCAGCCTCAGCCTCAGCCTGCCTCAGCCACAGCCACGGCCTCAGCCGCAACTTGCCTCAGCCTCGGCCACAGCCTCAGCCTCCTCAGCCTCAGCCTCAGCCTCAGCCTGCAGCCTCAGCCTGCCTCGGCCTCAGCCTCAGCCTCAGCCTGCCTCAGCTTCAGCCTCAGCCTGCCTCAGCCTCAGCCTCAGCCTCAGCCTCAGCCTCAGCCTGCCTCAGCCTCAGCCTGCCTCAGCCGCAGCTTGCCTCAGCCTCAGCCACAGCCTCAGCCTCAGCCTCAGCCTGCCTCAGCCTCAGCCTCAGCCTCAGCCTCAGCCTCAGGCCTCAGCCTCAGCCTCAGCCTGCCTCAGCCTCAGCGTCAGCCTCTCAGCCTCAGCCTGCATCAGCCTCAGCCTCAGCCTCAGCCTGCCTCAGGCTCAGTCTCAGCCTGCCTCAGCCTCAGCCTGCCTCAGCCTCAGCCTCACAGTTGGCTCCGGGCATTCAAAATGTACCCCGGGAGTGGTGTTCTGGGAACACGAAGAACACGAAGTGGCCTACAGTTGGCTCCGGGCATTCAAAATGCGGCCCGGGAATGGTGTTCTGGGAACACGAAGAACACGAAGTGGCCTACAGTTGGCTCCGGGCATTCAAAATGCGGCCCGGGAATAGTGTTCTGGGAACACGAAGAACACGAAGTGGCCTACAGTTGGCTCCGGGCATTCAAATGTGGCCCGGGAGTGGTGTTCTGGGAACACGAAGAACACGAAGCGGCCTACAGTTGGCTCCGGGCATTCAAAATCATGCCCAGGAATGGAGTTCTGGGAACTCTAAGACCACGAAGTGCGTTACTGTTTACTTGAAACGAGTTCCCCGGCATCCCCCCGGCATCCCTCCCCGGATCGCGCCCAGACCCCCCTGGGGCGTCATGATGCTCTTTTGACCCTACTAGAAACCTATCAGTCTTCGCTGTTAGGTAAAAATCACGACATCGGATCTCTGGGGGGCTGGACCCAAGCGCTGTTTTGCTGCACTCCGGCCGTGTTTGGCTTCTCGTCTTGGCAGGGAGGCACAGGAGAGCAGGCAGAGCAGGACGAAGCACGAAGCCAAAACAGAACGAGCAGCAAGATTCAGGACTCCGGCCGTGTTTGGCTTCTCGTCTTGGCAGGGAGGCACAGGAGAGCAGGCAGAGCAGGGCGAAGCACAAAGCCAGAACAAAACGAGCAGCAACGTTGAGGTCTTCGGCCCTGCTCGGCACTCCTTCTCGTAGCACGACGCCTGTGCCCTGGGGTGGGCTGCCTGCGCGCGGCCCGAAGCCTGCATCCCCCCCCCCCGAGGGCCGCCTCCTGCGTGCGGCCGGCGGCAGGCTTGGCATCGCTCGGACGTGCGCGTTTTTTCTCGGTTTCTCGGCGAGAACCATCGAGGACCATCCTGGACCATCGTGCAAATATATATATATATATATATATATAATAATAATAATAATAATAATAATAATAATAATAATAATAATAATAATAATAATAATAATAATAATAATAACAAAAAAAAAAAAAACGCACGAAACCGAACAACGCACGGGAAATGGACGTCCGAGCGCCGGCGAGCAGGAGCTGCTGCAGGCGGCGGTCTCCGACTTCTCCATGGCCGTGGTCACGCAGACGGGCATGGGCGCCTTCAACGGGGGGCTCCTCCTGGAGCAGGCGGGGCACGAGCCCCTTCCGCTCGTCTGTCGGGGGTGGACACGTCGATTAGTGAATGGTCCGTTTTCGGTTCTCGAGAGGGCGCCGCGGCCGTCATTTTCCAGGCTGGCGCCCGCCAGGTTTGGGCCCGAGGTCGTTTTCACTAAACCACGTTTTGCTAAAGGGAGGTCTGTCCATCCCCGAGTCTGGGATGCCGCTCCTGGGGGGGCGGGGTCCGGTCTGGCATCGGCGCTGGCATGTCCCTGGTCTAGGGCCGGCCTGACCCTTGGCATCGCTCGGACGTGTGCATTTTTTCTCGGCGACGGCCATCGAGGACCATCCTTGATCATTTGGCGTTGGCGGAAAAAACACGCACGAAATCAAAACATACACGAGGAATGGACGTCCGAGCACTGGCGAGGACCCCGCCGAGTCTGGCCGAATTCCGCGTAATCCCGTTCGATCCGGCTTAGTCCAGTTCCATCTTGGTCTTAGTCTGGGCTGGTCCGGCTCAGTGGCCACTCAATTTGGCTGATGAGCTTTGGATCGTTCTCATGAAGATCTTCCAGGAGCTACTTCCTAACCTCTTCCTCCTTTCCCTCCCCCTCCTCGTCCTCGCCCTCCTTCCTTTTCGTTCCGGCGGTGTCTCACGCGTTTAGTGGCAAGGCGACTTGTTTCGCAGTGCCAGCTGATGTGTGTGGGAAGCTTGTCAAAAGGTTCGCAGTTTGTGGGAAAATGAAACAGGTGGAGCACGAGCCGCGTTGAAGGCGCCCATGCCCAGAGGAGCGGAACAAAACTGCCTAAACACAAATTGTCGTAAGTCCACGTGGATTTCTTGGATTGGCGCTGGGACCACCTGGCGGCGCCTCTGGCGCCGCCCCTGGCGCGCTCCGCGCGTTAGGGAGAGGGGTCTAGTATCGACCCGAGAAATCCACTAGGACCTCCGACAGTTCATGTTGATGTAGCTGTTTATCTTCCTCCAGGCATGGGCGCCTTCAACGGGGGGCTCCCCTGGAGCAGGCGGAGTACGAGCCCCTGTACTTCGAGGCCGTCAGCAGGATGCCGAGCATGGAGGTCGCGGAGATGGCGGCGGTCCTGCCTTGCGACGACCGCCAGGCTGGGAACACGTATGACCAGGCGGATCGCTTCCTGGAGATGACTACAGGCTCCTCTTCCTCCTCCTCCCCCCCCTCCTCCTCAGCCGCTGCAGCGGCCCAAACCCCCCTCCTTCGCGGCTCATCCCACTTCAAAGGAAAGAGATTCCGCGACAGCGGCATGATGGTTCGCCCGCGGGGTCTGCCGAGCCCGTGAGGGGCGACGGATGGCTCTGCGGGGGCTGGCTTCTCGCTGGTGGCTCCCGCAGGCGGTGTTCGCTATCTCTGTTTGGGCGATGACGAGTACACCGAGCCAACGTCCCCCACCTCGTGGACAGACACACATCAGGGCATGCACGTACAACCCGATGCATCTAATCGGGCCCATGAGATGCTGCGACATATCTTTGGAGTTTCACAATACGGGCATTCTTCTACTACCAGGTACATGTCGGAAGAAGGGCGAAGACTCCCACCAGCTATTCTGTCATCCACGCCACTGGGAGATCTCGTTCGGGTGGTCTCGATCCAGCAATCGAGCGTGCGGCGTCTCCATCATGATGCACAACCAAGTCTTTCCCAGGCGCTGGCTGCGCCGCATCTACGCCCCGCCACCTCGTCTGGAGGGGAGGGCGGGGGCTGTGCGCCTGAAGTCGTCGACGCTGGACGTGCTCCTGATCGTGCTGTACTTTCCGTGCCAACCTTCGGGGCGCGGCCAGACGAAGGAGTACCGCACGCTGGTGCAGGCCCTCATAGGCTGGACGAGGACCACCATCCAGTCCGTCGGAGCCCGCTGCACGCCCATCATTGGCTGCGATTTGAACGACGGCCTCGGCGTCTCCCACGAGACCACCGTGGACGAAGCAGCATTGCACTATTGGGAAGAAGAGGACGAGGATCGAGCTGTGGGCAGTTTCTCCCCCTCGGTCGAGGGGATTGCAGGTCGCCTCTGGCACCAGATGCTGAACGATACCGAGCTGGCGGCCTGCAACAGCTTCGTAGACGCGGGGCCCACCTATTATGGGAACATGGGTCGCAGCAGCCGCATCGACTTCATTCACTTGCCTCAAGCCCTCATGCCGTACATGACGAAATGCCAGGTGCTATCGAGGGCGGGTCGAAGGCTACAACCCATTCAAACATTAGACGATCGAGATCATCGACCAGTCTACGTGGAATTCGCATATTGTTTTCAATCGCAGATGGGTTCAGCTCCAGGCTGGGATTTTGACCGAATCATGGCGTCGGCCCGAAGAGGCCAGCAGTGCACACAACTTATCGAGGACATCCAGAGCGAACTGATGACGATACCCGATGAGGAATGGATTCGCATGTGCACAAGGCCCACGACGGACGAGTTATGGAACACCACGGCCACGCTTCTAGTTAACAAGGCGAAGGATCTTATCAGCAAGCCAACACCGGCCGAGGAGCTCAAGTCTGACCTTGAACACCAGCGCTCTCGCACCTTGGAACGGCGAAAACTATTGAAAGGCACACTTACAGGGCGCGAGACAGCCTCCTGGCAGGACACGGAATTGGAATTAGCAAGGCTTACATTCAGAATCCGCTCCTTGTCCAAGCAGATCACGAAGGACAAGACGGCGGCGATAGTCCAGGAGTTGAACGAAGCTTGGTCCGCCCATGACCACAATACAGTCCAGAGACTGATACGCCGTCTGTCTCGACGAGGACGTGGTCCTCGCCAGCGGCGTTACTTTGTATGCAAAATGGAGCAATGCGAAGCCGAGCAGATAAGTTCTTTTCTTCAACTACCCGCAGCGGCTGGTGGTATGGGCGGAGTTCCTTGTGATTTACAAGCGGAGTTGGTAGAACGGTTCGACAGAACATATTTCGAGGACGAGGAAGATTTTGCCAGATCCGAAGAGGTGAGATATAATATCTTGCAGGCCATCTACCTGGAACAGGCACAGGAGGATCTACAGGGCATGATACAAGTGCTGAGATCTTCCCCAAAACGTCGGGCATGCCCCCACTGGTCAATGCCGTCTGAATTATGGCTACTACTTCTTGATGAGGCGGTGTGGGAGACCTTCACCACAAGCGGAGTGGGGGCCAGCTCGCGCCCTTCGACGGCTACCGCTTTCCTCGAGCGCATGACGGACATCATCGCTACGTTTCGGCGAGCTCGCCAATCACCACTACTCTACGACATCTCTTCCTGTATCGGATTGGACAAACGAAACGGAAAGCTTGGGGCCGCGGGACAGCGATGGATTCACTTGTTCTGCCCGATGGGCAAGGCATGGCACTCTTGGCTGTGGCAGCGGGGCAGACAGGTACGTGAGCGTCTCCCATACCATTGCCACGGGTTCGTGCCGAGGCGCCGCCGCGAGGACGCAATTGCCGTTCAAGCATGTGCATCGTGGCGCCTCGAGCAGGAGGGCTTGTCTCACGCGATCGTCAACGAGGACGCCTCGAACGCTTTTGCGAGCACTGACCGAAAAACTATCATTGAGACCCTCCCGTCCTTGTATCGACAGGAAGATATCGTATTCGAACACCGTCGTGCAGTTCAGGGGGCCCTCCAGCTTGAATCCAACTCGGAGGTGATTACTCTTCGGCCCGCAACAGGCGAAATGATGGGACACCCCAATCCCGCCCGTGCCTTCCCCTATTACTACGAACTCGGTCTCGCCCGTTTTCACGATCATCGCTCTCGGACTTCTTCTCGGCAGTATGCAGAGGCCATCGAGATAGACGGCACTTCCTCCGATGTAGGCTTAACGATTTTCGCAGATGACATTGCGAAGATGATTATTCCAGGGTGGGGACCCGAACCTTTCTCGAACGGCAGCGAGGCGGCACCCTTGGCGGCGCTGGCGGAGTCGAGTAGCAACAATTTGAGTGAGGCCCTCTCCGAGATAGGTATCACCTTGAACCCTGAGAAGCGGGTCACTCTTGCTCGCATCTTCGGTCGAGGCTGCATAGGTCAACGACGCCTGTGGCACAGCGGTGTTTTAAAAACTTCAGGGATCCGAGGTCGTCATATCAGGATCCTGGGAGGCTGGCTCACTTCCACGGGGTCCCTGGCCGTCGAGAAGTCGAAGCGAACTCTGGCGGGAAAAAACGGTCTGGGGCTCATCTCGTGCTTCCTGGTCAGGCCAGCCGCTCGTCCCATCAAGCGTATGGCGATCATCTCTTTCGTACAGGCGGCCCTCCTCTCGGGCATGGAGGCTCGCGTCGTGGACTCGTCTTTCTGTGAGCAGTCGGACCGTGTGTTGATGTTGGCTATGCGTAGGGGCCTTGGCCTTCAGGGGACCACCCGGAGCTTTGAAGGAGAAATTCGGCGCTGGCCCGCAAAAAAGGTCTGGGAGTACTGGAAGATCCTACCTACCTTCGAGGAACTCAGAGTACGTCGTCTAGGGTGGCTCCAGAGTTGGGCCCGTTTCCCTGAGGCCCACCGTCAAGTTCGGGCTTGTATCTTCGGGGCCATCAACAACCAGGATACCCTTGACGACAACTGGGAACTGACCCCAAAGGCCAACCCCTGGGCTCGGCAGCTACTAGAGGACCTCAAGCATGCCCATGATCTCGTCGAGGATTTTTACACGCTGGCCCCCTCGGGCTACCCCCTCGTGAAGCTGCTGTACCTCCAGGAGTACAGGGACTGGGCTTTCTTGGATTTCACGGTCCTCCGTGCTGCAGCCTACTCGCAGTCGTTCGCACCGCCCGAGTTCACTCCAGAGGCCCCCGAGGTCCCCGAGGAGGAGGAGGAGACGGCCCAAGAGGGCCAGTTCATCTGCCACATGGTGCTCAGCACGGGCGCCAAGTGTAACGAGAGGTTCAGCACCATGAAGTCGCTCCTCCTCCACGCAGGGCGGGCACACAGAGTGCGAAACGAAGCGTCCCTCTTGACTGTTACAAACCAGTGCTTTCGCTGTATGCAAGTTCTGAGTACAAAGGAGAACGCCGAACGCCACGTCATGAGATCCTACAAACGTAACATCTGCAGTCGGGGGAGGAGCTCTTTCTTAGCGCAGGACGTGATTATACCTGAAGAGTTGCATTGCCCAGTCTGTTGGCATGAGGCTCAAAGTCTACACGACCTTCAAGTCCACATCAGGTCTCATTGCTCTCTCCCACAGCCGGTCATCCACCAGCGTCGCCTTCTCGATGGCGGCCTCCACCGAAGGCGAAATGATGGACCTCGCGGCTCTCGTGGAACTGGGCAAGCGCAAGAACGAGGACCCTGGTGGCGGCGGCGAGGAGGGCAGGGGCGCAAAGTCTCGGAGGTCGGTGGCCGAGGCAGCAGACGCAGCAGAGGACACGCTACACCAGGTGGAGGGCGCGCTCAAGGCAAAAGACGTTGCAGCGGCGCTGAGCCTCCTCCTAAAAGGTTTCTGCATGCACTCTCAACTTCTACGAGACCTCGCATCGGTGGTATGGGTGAGCGTGATCCTGCCGACGCTGTCCCCGATTATCGTGGCCTGCAGGGCCGCTGGCAAGCTCTACGCGGAGGCGGCTGGGCTCCCGACGGTGAAGGACAAGCTCGGACCTCCACATTTACACATAGCGCGCGCAGGATTCAAATGTCTAGTGGAGGCGGAGACCAGTATCAAGATCGGCGGCGAGGCGATGGACTGCGTGAAGTCGTTCTATCAGAGGTTCGTACTGAGCGCACGGATGCAGGAGCTCGGATTATCAATCCGACACTTCCGCTGCAAGAAATGCTACAACGAGGACATGACGAGACTACAGTTCGCCGTGGTGGACGGTGTGAGCCTTCAGTTCGACTCGGGAGGCGAGCCAGTCACGTACTCCAAGCTGATGATCGAGAACGCAGTCGTGGTCCTCCTTCGCGGCATGGGCGGCACGCTCAAGCAGGGGACCGCCCCACAGGGCCACCTCGAGACGCTGGCGCAGAAGATGCTGGACCGTCACAAGCTCGGCGGCAAGGGCAGGGGCAAGGACAAGAAGGAGAAGGCTTGACGGAACCATGGCGTGCTCGTATGGAGGCACTCAGAGAACGTATCGCAGCAAAGGAACGAACGTCAAACACACGGTCGGGACCGCACCAGGGCTTCGGGACCGTGTAGGCACCCACGGGTGGCCTGCAGCTCAGGGTAGGGGACTATAACGCTCTGGCCTTTGTGCCTGCACCCTAGAGTAGTCCCGAGCCCTCGGTAGCATTTCGTCGCCACGTTACCATGGTGGTTATTCATATTGCATCGACGCTCCAGATATATAGTTCACGCTCGCTGATGTTGTGCAGCTGACCTCCACAGAGTCATTGAACGGGATTTCAGAGCGTAACCTCCTGCTCCGCTCCCTCTGCGACTCGATGGGCATGGTAATGTACTTCATCGCGAGTGCTATCTCTATGCAGAGTACAGACGTGGGATTGACTACCCAACGGGGGGCGCGGTGCGAGTGGGGACTGCCCGGCGGTGCGCCGTTAGTGACCCTCGCACCGTTGCTCCCCGGCCCCAGTGGTTACTCATATTGCATCGACGCTCCAGATATATAGTTCACGCTCGCAGATGTTGTGCAGCTGACCTCCACAGAGTCATTGAACGGGATTTCAGAGCGTAACCTCCTGCTCCGCTCCCTCTGCGACTCGATGGGCATGGTAATGTACTTCATCGCGAGTGCTATCTCTATGCAGTTGCACACTCTGATTGAGGCCCGCCCGACCCTCGCGAAGGCAGGCTGTCCGCGTCAGTCGAGATATACATATCCCTTGCTCCACGGGTCACCCCTTCGCTGAAGGCGCCTCGCTGTTGCCTGCCAATCGGATGCCTGCGGGGCCCGAGTGTCAGGTGATAGGGGGGCCTCTTCGGTGGAGGGTGTGGATCCGTCTTGACTGTTTTGTTTTTTTTCTCTGGGCTGGGTAGATGCCTCGGGAGCCGACCTGGCACACGCAGTGCCGAGAGGTTTTGGCCCCACGGGGCCAGAGGGGTGTCCCCCCCAGCCCGCGTGCGAAATTCACACTTGCGCACAGCCCCGATACTAGAGTGTCGAGCGCTGCACGGCGCGCGTTACCATTGACCTCGTATAGTAGATATACGATTGTCAGAGGTAGTAGTTGTGCACGCGTGTCTCACACAGTGCATAGCTGCGTACTCCTAGCACACGCGCAAGGCCGAGTCCTATCCTATCCTATCCTCCTCCTCCTCCTCCCTCCTCCTCCTCCTCCTCCCTCCTCCTCCTCCTCGTCCTCCTTATCCTCCTCCTCCTCCTCCTCCTCCTCCTCCTCCTCCTCCTCCTCCTCCTCCTCCTCCTCCTCCTCCTCCTCCCTCCTCCTCCTCCTGCTCCTCCTCCTCCTCCTCCTTCTCCTCTGTAAGAGCTACCTGGGTGGAGGGGGGGCCGTGCACAACCCGAAGCCTCACCGAGGCTCGCGCTCCCGCGCCTGTATACCACACCAGTTGAGCTTCAGCATGCCCATGCGTACGCTGTGCGGCACACTGCGTCCACTCCGCAGAGCTCGTCTGCATACGGCAGGTTCGCGTCGTGTCGACCGGCGGCGACCCCGCCGCCGACGTTCAACGTTGAACGCCGACGGCGGCCCAGAATCGGTCGATGTTGAACGATCGGACGTTGCGGAGACGGCCGATCGTTCAAGGTTGAACGATCCAGCGCGGTGTCAGGAACCAACGCCAGGGTCGATACGGCACGAACCTGCAGTACGCTAACCTGCTGAGCAGCGCGGGCTGCCATCAGCATGTAGCTGCGACGGCGCTCGGTGCTCGGCTACTTGCGCTCCTCCTGGCAGCGAGCAGAAAGGGGGTTGAGCGCGAGGGGGGGGCGGCCATCTGAGAAAGCAGAAGAGCTTCTGGGATGGCAGGTGGCTTCTCCGAAGCCCTCCCGCGTCTAAGGAGCCCTCTTGGAAGGCGCCAGGCCCATCCAAGAAGGCGCTTGCCTTCTGAGAATCCTATTGCCTTTTTAGAAGGCTGCTCCCCTCGCACCTACCTATACCCCTTGCGCGCGCCGCGGATCATCCCCCTCCTCCCCCCCCCAGGCATTCCCGGCCTGACCTGCAGCAACATCTCCACCATCCTCTCGGACACGGTGCAGGACGCCGGGAGCCCCTCGCCACACCCATTGGTCCACCCGCTCCCCCCCCTCTCCTTCTCCTTCTCCTTCTCTTCTTCTCATGTTCCTCCTCCCCCCCTCCTCCTCTCCTCCTCATCATCATCATCAGCAGCATCAGCATCATCATCATCATCATCATCATCATCATCATCATCATCATCATCATCATCATCATCATCATCATCATCAACATCATCATCATCATCATCATCATCATTATCATCATCATCATCACCATCACTATCACCATCACCATCATCATCATCATCATCATCATCATCATCATCATCATCATCATCATCATCATCATCATCGGCAGCCTCATCATCATTATCATCATCATCGGCAGTATCATGATCACCATAATCGGCATAATCGTCATCAGCGTCATGGCCGTCATCATCATCATCATCATCATCATCATCATCATCATCATCATCGTCATCATCATCATCATCAGCAGCAGCAGCAGCAGCATCAGCATCGGCATCATCAGCATCATCAGCATCATCATTATCATCATCAGCAGCATCATCACCAGCAGCATCATCATCAGCATCAGCATCAGCATCATCATGATCAGCAGCATCATCATCATCATCATCGTCACCACCATCGTCATCACCAGCATCGTCATCATCATCAGCAGCAGCATAATCGCCAGCTTAAGCATCAGCATCATAACTAGCATCATCAGCAATATCAGCATCATCATCAGCATAATCAACATCATAAGCATCGCCACCACCATCAGAATCATCAGCATCATCAGCATCATCATCAGCAGCAGCAGGAGCAGTAGCAGCATCACTATCACTACCACAACCATCGTCATCAACATCAGTATCACTGAGCCCCGCTCCGCTCGCACACCAATTCGCCTTTGCAGAATCATCATCGTCACCATTATCCTCCTCTGCTTGCTCCTCCTCCTCCTCCTCCTCCTCCTCCTCTTCCCCCTCCTCCCTCTCCCTCCTATCCTCCACCTCCTCCCATATCCATCTTCTTTCCTGCCCCTTCGTTGGGGGCGAGGGAAATGAGGGGGGGCATCGAACCGATGGGCGTAACGAGCGTCTCCGAGATTTTTCACGAGCCGTCCTACTTGTGCTCGGACCGGCTGATGGTGAACGTTCGTGCCCTGTGTCCCATATCTTGCGGCTGCCAATTGGGCACGGGGGGCATGACAGGCATGTTCGGAACCCTGGACTTCGGCTGCCCGCAGTCGTGCCTCGAGTTCCACACCGTCATCGACGAGTGGATGTATTCTACCAACATGCGCGGCGATCTCAACGGTGACGGCATCGTCGATGACGGCACCCCCCTGGGCATCTGCCGAGATGCTTCGGACGCCGAGCTGATTGCCGACCCGAACGCCTCAAGGGAGTGCCTGAGGGACTTCGGGCGGTGCCTGGAGCTCAGGGGGAGGTACACGCGCTGGTACGCGACGTACGTGAGGGGCATCCTCCCGTATCTGGCGGCCTTCGGTGCATCCCGCAGCCGTGCCTGGGTTGCAGGCCAGAGGCCTCTTGGACGCTCCTTGGTGTCGCTTGGGGTACCTCTCGGGGGCCTCTTGGATGCCTTGGGGGGGGCCTCGCGAGGCCACTTGGATGCCTGCAGCGGCTGCTACGGTCTCTCGGGAAGCCTCTGGACCCCCGCGGGGGGCATCCAGTCGGATAACACACGCACTCGTAAGCACAAACGTCCAGACCGCAGAGCTCCGAGACAGCGTGCGCACGTGCAGCGCCTGGTCCTCTCCCCTACTCAGCCCGGGGAACGCGAAGAGACCCAGGGACCTTCCGCTCCGCGCCTGCGGCAGAGCAGCGGATATGGGCCAGGAGTGGGCCGCGGAGGTGCGCTTGGAGAAGATGGCGGCCGGCATGCGGAACGTCGGCCAGATCGCGTTCGACAGCCTCGAGAACTACACCGCGCGGTTCTGGGCTGGCGGAGCCGCGGGCCGGGGCTCACGAGGCGGGGGTCGAGGCAGGCCAGCCACGACTGGGGGAGCTGTGGTCCTTAACCCCCCTGGGGTACCCATCGATTGCGACCCCCCGCTCGAGAGGTCGTCGATGCGATGGGTCCCCCCCAGGGGGGTAAGGACCACAGCTCCCCCAGTTGTGGCTGGTCGGCGAGGCAGACACAAGCAGAAGTGTTCGGCCCTCCGCGCGGAGTTCTTGGAACTGGGCTGGGCCCCTCTCCCTCCGTGCGGAGCGCCGAAAGTTTATGTTTGTGTCGTTTTTTCTTCCTCTTGTTGCGTGCAGGACCCTGCAGGATTTTGCAGGATCCTGCACGGCCTGACTGACCGTGGTCTGGATGGACCCGGGTCAGAGAAGATCCCCGAGAGGGGAGGCGAGGGGAGACCAGCTGTGAGCGCAAAGGGTGGCCCTGATCGCCAGATCGGGCCTCGAGGTGTTCTGGCGTGCCCGTCTGCTCTCGGCGTTTCTCCAGCATCGGGATGCGTTCCAGCACCTGCGCTTCGCCGCGAGTGTGTCGGAGGTGCCCGCGCCGTCCCGAGCGGCCGCCGGGGGCCCGAGTCGCGCAGGACCCGAAAGCCGAGCGAGACTCTTCGCCGCAGTGGCCTCCGGTGCGCGGCTTTCGGGCGGGCGCGGGGGATTAGACCCAAGCGCGCAGTCCGCTGCGGTTGCATCGACTGCCACGATCGGCAGGCCACACACCAGAGTTCATCCTTGCCCAGGGCCACTCTTGCGAATTAGCCGAGGAGGGGAGGGAGAGGAGGGAAGGGAAGGGGGAAGGGAAAGGGAGGGATAACCCAGTGCCCCTCATATTCAGCCCCTGGGAAAAAGAAAGCTCGGGGTCCAGGGGGGATAATTAAAGTTCCCCGGCAGAACGCAGCATAAATTACGTTGAGGAGGCTGATGGTAATGATGGTGGTGATGATGATGATGATGATGATGATGATGATGATGATGATGATGGTGATGGTGATGGTGATGGTGATGATGATGATGATGATGATGATGATGATGACGATGGTGATGATGATATCCTTGCCCGCACTCTGCACATCCTAGAGCTGGCCAGTGCTCTCGAGATCCTAGTAGTGGTGGTAGTAGTAGCAGTAGTCGTAGTGATAGAAACTGGATTAGCAGTAGAGTAGTGGGAGTAGTAGTAGTAGTAGTAGTAGTAGTAGTAGTAGTCGTAGTAGTAGTAGTAGTAGTAGTAGTAGTAGTAGCAGCAGCAGTCGTAGTACTAGTAGTACTAGTAGTAGTAGTAGTAGTAGTAGTAGTAGTAGTAGTAGTAGTCGTAGTCGTAGTCGTAGTAGTCGTAGTAGTCGTAGTAGTCGTAGTAGTAGTAGTAATAGTAGTAGTAGTAGTAGTAGTAGTAGTAGTAGTAGTAGTAGTAGTAGTAGTAGTAGTAGTAGTAGTAGGTAGTAGTAGTAGTAGTAGTAGTAGTAGTAGTAGTAGTAGTAGTCGTAGTAGAGTAGTAGTAGTAGTAGTAGTAGTAGTAGTAGTAGTAGTAGTAGTAGTAGTAGTAGTCGTAGTAGTAGTAGTAGTAGTAGTAGTAGTAGTAGTAGTAGTAGTAGTAGTAAGTAGTAGTAGTAGTAGTAGTAGTAGTAGTAGTAGTCGTAGTAATATTTGTAGCAGTAGTAGTAGTAGTAGTAGTAGTAGTAGTCGTCGTCGTAGTCGTAGTCGTAGTCGTAGTCGTAGAAGTAGAAGTTGTAGTAGTAGTAGGAGTAGTAGTAGTAGCAGTAGTAGTAGTAGTCATAGTAGTGGGAGTAGTAGGTAGGTAGGTAGGTAGGTAGGTAGGTCGATAGGTAGGTAGGTAGGTAGGTAGGTAGGTAGGTAGGTAGTAGTACAAGTAATAGTAGTAGTAGTAGCAGCAGTCGTAGTAGTAGTAGTAGTAGTAGTAGTAGTAGTAGTAGTAGTAGTAGTAGAAGTAGAAGTAGTAATAGTAGTCGTAGTAATAGTAGTAATAGTAGTAATAGTAGTAATAGTAGTAATAGTAGCAGCAATAGTAGTAGCAGCAATAGTAGCAGCAATAGTAGCAGCAATAGCAGTAATTCTAGTACTAGTAGTACTAGTAGCCGTAGTAGCAGCAATAGTAGTAGCAGCAGCATTAGTAGTAGTCGTAGTAGAAGTAGTAGTAGTAGTAGTAGTAGTAGTAGTAGTAGTAGTAGTAGTAGTAGTAGTAGTAGTAGTAGTGGTAGTAGTAGTAGTAGTAGTAGTAGCAGCAGTAGTAGTAGTAGCGGTAGTGGTTGGACTGGTAGCAGTAGTAGTAGTAGTAGTAGTAGCAGCAGCAGCAGTAGTAGCAGTAGTAGCAGTAGTAGTTGTAGTAAGAGTAGGAGTAGTAATAGTAGTCGCAGTAGTAGCAGTAGTAGTAGTAGTAGTAGTAGTAGTAGTAGTAGTAGTCGTAGTAGTAGTAGTAGTAGTAGTAGTAGTAGTAGTAGTCGTAGTAGTAGTAGTAGTAGTAGTAGTAGTAGTAGTAGTCGTAGTCGTAGTGGAAGGTCGTAGTAGTGGTACGACGGGAGTAGAAGGGGAGGGAGCGGAGGGAGGCGTTTTCGCGAAACATTGGGTCGGCAGCTTAGGTTACTAATGTGTGAAACTTTCTTCCTTCCAATCGTTGGCAGCTGCACATGCGTAGGATGAAACACCCCCGGGGTAAACAAAAAGTCTGGGCCGGGGGCCAGGTAGTAGTAGTAGTAGTAGTAGTAGTAGTAGTAGTAGTAGTAGTAGTAGTAGTAGTAGTAGTAGTAGTAGTGGTAGTGTAGTAGTAGTAGTAGTGGTAGTAGTAGTAGTAGTAGTAGTAGTAGTAGTAGTAGTAGTAGTAGTAGTAGTAGTTGTAGTAGTAGTAGTAGTAGTAGTCGTCGTCGTAGTAGTCGTAGTAGTGGTGGTGGTAGTCGTAGTAGTGGTAGTAGTAGTAGTAGTAGTAGAAGTAGTAGTACAGTAGTAGTAGTAGTAGTGGTAGTAGTAGTAGTAGTGGTAGTAGTAGTAGTAGTAGTCGTAGTTGTAGTCGTACTCGTAGTTGTAGTCGTAGTCGCAGTCGCAGTCGCAGTCGTCGTAGTAGTGGGCGTAGTAGTCGTAGTGCGAGTACGAGTAGTAGTAGCAGTACGATTAGTACGACCACTACTACTACTGTACTACTACTTCTACTACTACTACTACTACTACTACTACTACTACTACTACTACTATTACTACTACTACTACCACCTACTGCTACTACGACTACGACTACTACTACTACTACTACTACTACTACTACTACTACTTGCACTACTACCAGTAGTAGCAGTACTCGTATCATCCGTTTGATTATTATTGTTTGTAGTAGTAGTGGTCGTAGCCGTAGTTGGAGAAGTAGTAGCAGCAGCATTAGTAGTACTAGTAGGTGTAGTGGTAGTAGTAGTAGTAGTAGTAGTAGTAGTAGTAGTAGTAGTAGTAGTAAAAGTAGTAGTAGTAGTAGTAGTACTGGTCCTAGTCGTAGTCGTAGTCGTCGTAGTAGTATTAAAGGTAGCAGTAGTAGCCGTAGTAGTTGTAGTAGAAGTAGTAGTAGCAATAGTGGTAGTAGCAGAAGTTGTACACGTAGCAGTAGTAGTCGTAGTAGTACTAGTGGTCGTAGTAGTAGTAGTAGTAGTAATAGTAGTAGTTGTAGTAGTAGTTGTAGTAGTTGTAGTAGTAGTACTCTAGTAGTAGTCGTACTAGTAAGCGTAGTCGTAGTAGTAGTAGTAGTAGCAGTAGTAGTAATTGTAGTGATAGTAGTAGTAGTAGTAGTAGTAGTAGTAGTAGTAGTAGTAGTAGTGGTAGTGGTAGTAGTGGTAGTAGTCGTAGTCGTAGTAGTAGTAGTAGTAGCAGTAGTAGTAGTAGTAGTAGTAGTAGTCGTAGTAGTACTAGTAGTAGTACTAGTAGTACTAGTAGTAGTAGTAGTAGTAGTAGTAGTAGTAGTAGTAGTAGTAGTAGCAGTAGTAGTAGTCGTAGTCGTAGTAGTAGTATCAGTGGTCGTCGTAGTAGTTGTCGTAGTCATAGTAGCAGTAGTAGTAGTAGTCGTCAAATGAGTAGTACTAGTGCTAGACCTAGTAGTAGTAGTATTAGTTGCCGTGCGAGTAGTAGTAGTAGTAGTAGTAGCAGCAGTAGTCGTAGTAGTGGTAGTAGTAGCTTCAGGACGGGAGGAGACGGGGAGGGAGCGGAGGGGTGAGTTTTCATTTAAAAAGTGTTGATTCGGCTCTTTAGGTTTCTAATGTGTAAAGTTTCCTTCTCTTCAGCCGTTTACAACTGAATATTGTTAGGACGCCCTGCCCCCCAGGATAAAAAAGTTCGGGACGGGGGCCAGGTAGTAGTAGCAGCAGTAGTAGTAGTAGTAGTAGTAGTAGTAGTAGTAGTAGTAGTAGTCATCGTCGCCGTAGTAGTAGCAGTAGCAGTGGCATTAGTAGAAGATGTAGTTGTAGTAGAAGTCGGAGTCGTAGTACGAAGAGTAGTAGTAGTAGTAGTAGTAGTAGTAGTAGTAGTAGTAGTAGTAGTAGTAGTAGTAGTAGTAGTAGTAGTAGTAGTGGTAGTAGTAGTAGTAATAATAGTAGTACTAGTAGTAGTGGTGGTGGCAGCCGTAGTCGTCGTCGTAGTCGTAGCGGTAGTAGTAGTAGTAGTAGTAGTAGTAGTAGTAGTAGTAGTAGTGGTGATAGTAAGTAGCAGTAGTAGTTGGAGTAGTAGTAGTACGCCTGGTAACAGTATTCGTAGTAGTAGTGAAAGAAGTAGTAGTGTTAGTAGAAGTAGAAGTATAAGTAGAAGCAGAATAATAATACGTAGTAGTAGTAGAATTAGTTGGGATCGAATTTGTAGTAGTAATAGTAGCAACAGAAACAGTACACGTAGTAGCAAAAGTAGTCGCAGTAGCAGCAGTCGACGAATGAGAAGTAGGAGTCGGAGAAGAAATCGTAGTAGCAGTAGTAGTAGTAGCCGTGGCAGTCCTAGTAGGAATAGTAGTAGTAGTAGTAGTA